TGGCAACATTTAAAATGAATTCAGTGCAATTTTGCTTGGTTTGGTAACACTAAGCGGAAATGGCGGCAATTTTTACATTGTCCCACAGTTTCAAATGAATTCATTCTATATACGTGGCAACATTTAAAATGAATTCAGTGCAATTTTGCTTGGTTTGATAACACTAAGCGGATATGGCGGCAATTTTTACATTGTCCCACACTTTCAAATTCGAAGCAATTAAAATATTCTGAAGTAGTTGCTTTTTAGAACACTGTTGAATTGAGTTTTATAAATTATAGAAAAAGTGGTTTTGCTTTTACAACATATCTGGAAATGAAGTATCATAACTAAGTAAGAGTATGTTTATTATAAAAAAAAAGAAAATTGAACTGTTTTGTGCTTAATGCAGAAAGAATTATATGGTGAATGAGCAGAGTAAGTTTGATAAATTTTATATAAAAAAGGAAGAAATTACATACGAAATTTGATAAAAAGCTGTAATTTTACTTGAAGAGGTGTGGTTTTCTTGGCTTTTGATTGAGTTAAGTGATTCTTTAAATGCGGAAAAACAATAGTTTAAAGGCATGGGGTTTGAAATGCCCGGAAGCTAATAGAGGCCTATTACAGGTCTTTTGTTATAAGTTTGGATAACTTGACAAATACGAAAAGCGGATGTTGGCGAAAACAATTCTGTCATGTCCTGGGAATCTCTTTTTTTGTTTTTGTTGAGAATGTGTTTGTTTTAGTTATACAAGGTTTCTAGGCACCTTGCGCACCAAAGATCAAAATTACTAAAACAACTTGTTCGTCTCATGTAGAATGAGGTAAATGGCGCATTTTCTTATATTTACTCCAATTTCCGGAATTATTTGCTAAAAAAGAGCATCATATTCATTTAAACGTGAACATGTTTCATTCAAGTACGACTTTTGAGTAAAAATAGTGGAGTATATATAGTGGGTATATTTGGGACTGCCTGCGGCTTCTCTTAAGCGTAAACATGAACAGAATTGTGAAAATGATGTTCTCCTAAGACTTCTGATAAGATTACTGGGCATAAACGCACAGCGCATACACAAGCAGCTTCACAGATTGGAAAGGTAAAGAGTTTATAAAGTGTGCCCTTATCTAATAGACGCAATCAAACATAGGGTGTTCCATGCTTTTATCAAAGGACTTTACAGCTTTCATAATAAAAGCAAGGCAGAAACTGTACTCTGTTTGAAATGAATTTGCGATTTTTTTTGGATAATGGAAAGGAAAGGAGTACATTTTTATCAATACTTTTTGAAAAATTCCTTGCGAAACTGTTGAGTTTAATTCCTATAAAGTGTTTGTATGTTTTTGCCATCTAAGTGACAATTTAGGATTAATTTACATACTGAGGATATATCTTTTATTGAAAATGTTTCGCTTGCGGGTACCTAACATAAACCTATTTTTACGAAAACTGGTCAATTTGACGGGTAAATTGTGTGAATCCTCACAGGACCAAAGATGAAAAGACTAAACAGAAAATTGGCGGAAGCATTTCTTGATCGATGGAGAATACGATTTTAAAAAATAGGTGGCGATCTTTTCATATACATGCCCGTAATGCAGAAGGAAATAAACGAAACTCGAAAAACATCAACAATTTCTGCAAATACTCATCTATAACTTTCGATTCTTTGTACATATATTTG